ATGATATTCTCTGCATAAAGTCTCAGTATAGTGGGTATTAATATAAAAATGACACTTTACCTTTCTGTTTTCCCTCTAGTAAAGCAGAATCAGAAAATCAGCAAAAATCTGAGTCACGGACAGAGAGTCTTACGCCCCCGCACACACACACACACACACACACACACACACACACACACACACACACACTGGCGTGACTCCGCCCCCTTTGTCTTTATTCAGTGTTTCTCAATCTGAAGGAGGACAGAGAGAAAGAATCACAGATCAGGACACCAGGAGGAGAGACGGGCCGAACACACCGAACCATGGCCACAGCAGACACGAGACCGCAGCACATCCTTCCGTCCGATCCCCGCGCACCGAGCCTCATATCACGGATCACCTGCACCAGAACCGAGCTGACTGACACCACGGCGGATCCGCGGCCAGAATGAGGGTGATTTACGTCCAGAACGCCGGCGTGGTCGCTGCTTTCTCACCTGAGATTTTCTGCGGTAGATTGAAACAAAGGAATAACGGAGAAATCATGATCGAACGCGCCACGGGAAAGAGAACACGTCATAACGGAGTAGGATACGTCATAATGGTATAGAACGCGTCATAATAGAATAGTGCACAATAGATACATTGTCGTTCTAATTGTGAATGATACATTGTAGCAGTTTATAAGTGCCACAAAACCACATGGCACGTGTTCATTAGTTTCTTTTTAATAATATGCCTTTTTAGTCCGTTCATAGCCCTGTTTTATCGTTCATAATTAGACTGGGATTATTATTTTCCTTTGGATAGCCTACCATAGCCGGCTATAGATAGAATAGATAGACACCTCATTAAAATATGAGTCATTATTGACAATCATAAATTACTTTATATGTTAACATATTAAACCTTTGCATTGTAATTTATTTATTTATTTATATGCTAATTAGCTATATTAATTAGGTCTTATATTATCAATATTTCAAAGCATTTAGTCAAGACATTTAAACATAGAGGGAGGTGTAAAATATCCTCCCACGTGATGGAGACACAAAGGCCAGGTGACCCACCGGGCCCCTCAGTGGTGGCGGAGGCCCCTGAGGGCCCCGGTGAGGTCAAACGCAGCAGCTCTGGTGTGAAGAAACATCATCACAAACACAACCTCAAGCATCGCTACGAGCTGCTGGAGACCCTGGGGAGAGGAACGTACGGCAAAGTCAAGAAGGCCATCGAGCGCCATTCTGGAAGAGAGGTGAGAGCTTCAAGCATCTGATAAATAAATCAATCTAATGTAGTGGTTATACATCTGAACTGCTATCCAGAAGGTTGCAGGTTCAATTCCCGCATTAACCTCTAGCTGAAACATACTGTGGTGGTACATAGTAATATCAGATGGAAATGCCATGATACATTGATATATACCAGTGATTGAACTTTTGAATCAAAGAATAATTTGATAAATGAACAAAGAACTGGCCTGGATCTTGGGCCGGCTGTAGTTTGTTGTTTAGGGTGTCAGCTCTGCTATAAAATCTGTTGTTGTGTTTGGCTCATTTTGGTCCATCTCATAGGAATTCCACCCCACGCGTGTGCGCCGCATGCATTCGCTTGTGCAAGAGCAGATGTTTTAAATCTCATGTAAAGTTGCTCTAATAGCCCCCAATGAAACGGATCTCTCTTCAACCAATTGACCGTTTCTGTTGCAGTTGGGTTCAAAGGTCACTGCTGACCACTCGCCGTAAATAATAATGCGACCAGCGCCAAATGTGTTAGAGAACTTGAGTTCTGAAACCTCGGGTCGCTAATGAACTCTGACTTAGATGCTAAGTTCTGCTGTGGGCATTTAGGTCAGGCAGGGCTTTAGTGTTCGTTTGTTCATTAATCAAACATACCGGATTCGTTCGGCACGCTTTGGCACGTGGCTATGGTTGTTGTTTAACACTGTCCTCTAAATGGCTCAGTCACCACAGAACCTGGAACAGCTACTAGGAGCAATGAAATCTTTCCATTCTGCTAAAGTTCCACCAAAAATGAAAATTTGGTAATTTACTCATCCTCATGTCAGTCTTAAAAATGTTGTTCAA